AGGCAAAAATTTTCGATCGGCAAGAATGCTCAACATTAAGCTCAACGATCGCAAAGTCCAATGAAGAAATAAGAAGACGAACAAAAGTTATAGATTAGTCCACAATATTGCCATGTTAAAATAGAACGCATACCATTTTTGTTATAACGTTTTAAGCATTCGTGATACTAGATTATTTAATTTTCAGTTATTCTAGTACTAAAAGGTACTCGTACTCTCTGAGTCGATGGGATATGGTTTTCTAGAAAAATCGATTTGAAAATGTTTCGTTTTTTCGTCAGTTAAATTAATATTTTTTTCACTAGTTGGCCGTGACCTGTCAACAGAAGTATAACTTACGTTTTACATTGTCAAATTGTGGTTAGTTCGTGAAGTTTATCTTTTAGTTTTTTACTTTGTGGCATTCAAATATAACAATTTCAATTCAACAAATATGGGTTTTACTAATGAGGTGTACGCTGATATGCTTTGGTTTATGGCGACAATTTGCCCATTTTGAATTATCTAAGGCTTCTTAGATAATTCTTGGTTTATACAAGCGGATGCGGGCTACGGTTTTGGAGTTTTCAAAATTAATTTTGTGACCTGTATAAATATAGTGTTGAAATAGAGCTGACATTTCAAGGAACTTCATAATATCTGTTGGAGAACTATATCTCCAAACCAATAATTCTATTTTGTATCAAATAATTCTATTTTCGCGTCGGTTACCTAACTAAATCCAGTCTACCTAGACCTTGTTTCTGAGAATGTTAATCCCCGCCCACAGCGCCTACTTGACGACAGACCGGCTTTTCAAAATGCATAAACAAAAAAAATATTCCAGCGGGGCTAGTGATTTAGCGACTTTCGTAGGGCTAACATCTATATTTTAAAGTTCGGAGAGGATTCTCCATGTTGTAGTTTACGCTATTGGCCGGGAAGCCGTAATATGTGAATAAGTGTTATGGTGTTTTCGCTTTCGTTCGCAAATTGTAATATTTAAATTAAGTTCCTACGATAAGTTACACACTCAAATTTTATAAGTTCTACTTCTTGCCCTTTCTTATTTCAATTACAGTTTCTTTCTAAACAAGTAATTGTTTTATTTCACTATATCAATTCAACAGGCCAGATAAAAGCAACTTTGAAAGTCCATTTTAGTTTCTCTACTGAGCTGTCGAAGGCTAGCGGACTAATTGGGCTTACAGCAAGAACAAAGCCGCTGAAAGAGACACTGTTGCATATAAGCCTCTCCATGGAAGGAATTTTGTAAACCGGCACCCTCCATTTTGTTCACTTTGAGCCGAATTGTAATCACTTCAAACTGTATTCTGATCCTACTACTTTCTGGCCTAAAAACACTCAATACAAGTTTCTTCTTTATTCTACGCATTCAAAAAGACATTAAAAGTTTCGCGTATTTCGGATATTCTCGTCGATAGACAATAATTTCTAGAGACATAGTGAGTGCGTTATTTATTCTACGGACAAATAAACATTCAATGAACAAAACAGTGTTAGTTTAAAAAACCAGGACAATTTCAACAAATGCAGTTCCAGGACTAGCTGATTCCAGACTCCAGAGAGGAAGAAGCAGCCCACATTCAAGTACCAAGAACTCAGGGGTGACGTACAAACACAAACTTTTCTATTTCAAAATTCAAAGTTATTTCAAAAAAGAACTATACTGTTAAATTTTTGTTTAGCTTATCGCATGCTTGTTATATTATAAATTCAAAATTAATCATTCAGAATTAATTAATTCAAAAATAAATTATTTCATTCAAAAATAAACAAATTAAAGTTATTACAATGAGCAATAAAGGTTTAAATAAATTAACAAAAAAGAAGCATTCTATTCTAGATTCAGTTGCTAGAATTCAAGCGTGGCTAGAACTAAACCACGACTCAGAAAAAGATATTTTCTCATTCAAAACACGAGAAGAAAGGTTAAAAGACCTTTTTTCTGACTTCAATAGCGTACAGGATGAAAATGAATTCCTGGACGATTCTCAAGCCTGTGCCTTATTTGAAGAAAATTATTTCGCGACTCTTTCAAAACTTCAAAATACAATTAAATCATTGGAAGTTACTAATACAGGGAGCGACAATAAACAAATGGCCGTAAAACTCCCAGAAATCAGTATAAACAAATTTTCTGGACACGTAAGTGATTTTGAAAGCTTCTACGAACTATTCGACACACTGATAATAAAAAATCAGTCCCTTTCTGACGTTCAAAGATTTCTTTACTTGAAAAGTTATTTACAGGGTGATTCTCTAAAGTTGGTGGATTCTTTGAAAGTCACAAATGAAAATTTTTCAATTGCTTTAGATATTCTAAAAAACCGCTATCAAAATAAGGTCACGATCATAAATTCTTATTTGACAGAAATTCTAGACATTCCTACACTGCGAAACAGCTCACCGCAGATTCTCAGAAATTTTCTAACTACTGTAACAAAAAATATGCAACTGTTGAAAAATTTGCAATTTTCAAGTTCAGAGCTCATTGATATAATTTTAGTTTTTCTGCTAGAAAGCAAATTAGACTTTTCAACAAGGAGACTTTTTGAAACTGAGCGAAATCATACATATGTACCAAATTTAGATGCTTTTCTTAAATTTCTAGAAAAAAGGTGCATTGTTCTGGAAAGCCTGGAAAATACAAATCCTAGGCAAACCAAAAACGTAAAAGTTTCACATCATGCATACAGTAATAACACATCAGAGGATTCAAATAAAAATAATAGTTCAAATAATTTAGTTTCTGACTTTTATTGTATTTACTGCAAAAAAAAAGGACATAAAATTTATAAATGTCAATTTTTCAAATTCATTCAGCATGATGACAAGATAAAATTCGTAAATTCAAAAGGTCTCTGCGTAAACTGCCTAGGTAGGCATTATTCTAAAAACTGCTCCTCAAAACATGGATGCACCATATGTAAAAAGCGCCATAACACTGTTCTTCACATTTCGGGGATTATACTTTTTCTACGACCCACAATAATGAAAGTCCGTCAACTTCTACAATTTCAAACAATTACAAACGCGAACATCCCCCGGGGGGAATGTTGGAGAACTATATCTCCAAACCAATAATTCTATTTTGTATCAAATAATTCTATTTTCGCGTCGGTTACCTAACTAAATCCAGTCTACCTAGACCTTGTTTCTGAGAATGTTAATCCCCACCCACAGCGCCTACTTGACGACAGACCGGCTTTTCAAAATGCATAAACAAAAAAAATATTCCAGCGGGGCTAGTGATTTAGCGACTTTCGTAGGGCTAACATCTATATTTTAAAGTTCGGAGAGGATTCTCCACGTTGTAGTTTACGCTATTGGCCGGGAAGCCGTAATATTTGAATAAGTGTTATGGTGTTTTCGCTTTCGTTCGCAAATTGTAATACTCAAATTAAGTTCCTACGATAAGTTACACACTCAAATTTTATAAGTTCTACTTCTTGCCCTTTCTTATTTCAATTACAGTTTCTTTCTAAACAAGTAATTGTTTTATTTCACTATATCAATTCAACAGGCCAGATAAAAGCAACTTTGAAAGTCCATTTTAGTTTCTCTACTGAGCTGTCGAAGGCTAGCGGACTAATTGGGCTTACAGCAAGAACAAAGCCGCTGAAAGAGACACTGTTGCATATAAGCCTCTCCATGGAAGGAATGTTGTAAACCGGCACCCTCGAATATCCGTGTTGTTCATTAGGCTTCTGTTGGGCTTCTTTTAAACTAGAGAGTTCAGCGGGGCTACCTGCATAATCGGAAAGGCGTATTGATTTGGAGACAAGGAGATTAATGACTGGATTAATTTGTGAAGGAGGATGATGAGAGTTGGCATGCAAGTAACGATTGGTATGGGAGGATTTTCGATAAACAGAGTGATGAAAACCTTGGGATTGGTTTTTCTTAGTGATAACGTCGAAAAACGGTAGGGATGAATTAGTTTCCACCTCCATCGTGAACTGGATACTAAAATGTATATCATTCAGATGGGTTTGAAGAGACACCAAAGCATCCCTGCTATGGGACCAAACGACGAAAGTATCGTCAAAATATCGTAGCCAACATGTGGGTTTGAGCAATGATGTGGATAGTGCCCCAGTCTCGAAGTATTTCATAAAAATATAAGCATTACTGAAGATAGTGGGAAGCCCATTGGGGCACCATTTATTTGTCTGTAGAATTGATTTTGGAGGATAGAAAAAGGGTTGGACTTAAAATTTTTAATGAGAGATAAGTGATCTTGCTGAATAATGTATTTACTTTTCAGAATGTTTAGAGTTTCGTCTGTAGGTATGTTAATAAGAGTGAAACGATATCGAAACTTACTATAAATCCTGATGGTGAGATAGGGCATTGTTTAAAAATTTCGGTAATATAAAAAAAAAATTGTGACAAATGATGATGCAGTTAAGAGTTAATTAATGTAAGAAGAAGTGCTTATGATGACAGTGGCATTTCCTTTATCGGCGGGAAGAATGACTGTATTTTTCAGAGCTTTCTTCTCGGATTCGCTAGTGTTCGGAGTAGGAGGTTTCCAGTTTCTAAGAACTCTAGCGCTGTCTTATTTAGTTATTACAGCATCTTCGAAAGGTAAACTGAAGATAACTTTTTCAGTTTGAGAGATGATTATCTAAATTGGAGTGTGACTTGGGGTAACAGAGTAATTGAAACCTTTTTTACTGAAAGTACTTTTAGTGGTTATTTTTAACTACTTCTATTAACCAGTTTATCATCTCCAGATCTCTCATCTACACTACATGTTACCTATTTCTAATTGAATTTTCTCATCTTCTTAGCAGAACTACAAAGAAAATAAAGACGAGAACTGTTTGAGAGTTTGCAGATACAAAGTAAAAATAATCGTCAAGTCATTAATTTCAAACTCACTGCTTCCTTAATTTTAGATACTAATACTATTGTAGCACCTTGAAGTCATGAAACCAACCAGTAATCAACAAGATGAAATAAAATTTGTAAGAAAAATAACAGATACTCACAAATCGGTTTCAGGTAAAATTTCAATTTGAAGTTCCTTTGGAAATAAATATGGAATAATTTTATGTGTGTGAGCTAAAAATAGAGCTTGCTTTTCAACTTGTATGGACCTTCTGTTAAAGCCAAATTCGATATGAAATTTTTTGTTATCGATGAATATTTCGTCAAACCTACAAATATAAACAAATATTAGCCACATATACAAAATATATACAAATAACTGATGATTTCAATAATAATTTTCCTTATACATAGTTCGTTATTTGGGACATTCCTACGAAGTGTGCTCGAAACCACATCTAAATAATAATAGCGCTATTTTAGCGCTATTATTATTAATTATTAGCATTAGCATTATTATTATTATATATTATTAATAGCGCGATTTTAGCGGGTATTCGATTCATTCTAAGTATATTATATATATATATATATATATATATATATATATATATATATATATATATATATATATTGAAATGATTTCAATAGGTCAAAGAGGATATAACTTAAAGGGATTTTTATATGAGTTTGTTGTTCATGAATTTCATGAAGCCATCACAATGTGGGGTCGACTCTGAAATAAAAGGGAGAAAAGATTAGTAAATTGCTAAATAAATTAATTTTGACTTACCTGGTATAGTGTTAATAATTTCTGAATAGTATAGTTGCCTAGTGTATAGGTGAATCGTCTAAACCTTAAAAGGAATAAAAAAGAAGAATTCTTAAAAAATTATTTAAACATAGAAATTTCAAAAATAAACGTCAGAAAAATAAACTGTCAAAAGTCTGTGGGAACTAAATTAATAGGGGTTTTGTTAAATAAATTACAATGATGTGGAGATGAAAAGAATAAATTATATTAGTATTGTTAAGTTTTATATCTGAATTTTTTTTTTATAAATTCCCAAATTAGATGTGATTAAAGTGCTTATGAGAAATTAATGTGGTTTGACAAATATGTCAAAACAGGACAGTTTTATGGTTGAATAAAATAGAAGACGGAATGAAAAAAGAAAGGGGGTTGCTGTTAGCAACGAATAATTTTGGTGGTTGGTGCTAGCTATGGCGGTTAACAAGGAAGAATAGGTTGTTGGAGGCGACGAAAATTTTGGAGGAAGAGCCCTAAAAAGGTGGAATAGTCGGGAGTGCTTTAAAATCGTTTAATTATAATTTAGTTTTTCCACATTTTCAAATAGAGATATCCAGAATTTGTTCCAGAGAGTAAGAGAAATTTTGACTTATAAATTATAATTGGAGTGCAGAAATGTCATTTAGATTGAAAAAGTAAAAATTCATGAATTAACTAATTGCGATAGGCCTTAAAAATTGAAATATTAATGATCATTAAAAAAAAAATATAATAGTACGTACCTTTAACTTCCGAAGAGAGGATAGATATTCCAGTATCACCGATTATTTTGCGAGTAGTTAGTTTTCTTTAAAAAAAAAAATCAGAACTGTTTGAAAGTGAGTTTGGATAATAATTTTGGGGATCATTTGAAATTTTGATTATATTTTAATGCTAGTTATAAGTCAGCGGCATAAAGTGTTCAGTTTTCTTTTCTTTATATTTCATTTAAACACTTTATAAAGTTGCAATAGTCATTTAGATTTAAGGTAATTGTAGAGAGTTTCCACATTTTGTAATCAAATTCTATTTTCACGACACATTAAGGTTTACACGATTCCTATTTTTGTAAATTTTTAAAGGCAACCCAAGTTGCAGACGAATTTTATTGTTTATATTAAATTTGTTCAATATTAATAAATAACGTGCTTCATTTGGGTTAATTTATCAAAAATATAAAGTAAATTTTGGTTTAATTTCTTTTTGAACTCTACCAGGAGACTACAGAGTTGACGTCACACAGTGACAGATTGCTTAGAACAAATAATTGAGCTAGCCGAGGTATAGTATATTAACAACGAACTACATACTTTTAAAATTCACTTCAATTCAATTAAAATTATATTTATTAACAATAAAACATAAAAATAATAAAAACAAAACTATTACAATTGGCGCCCAACGTGGGGCCTCTGGGAAAACAGAAATAAGGGTGTTTTTTTTTTTTTTAAGCAGATTTATTAATAATACACAGATTAAAATAAAAACAAATTGGTGTGATTAGAGTTGTAGAGATTCTGGGGTAGTTAAAGTTAAATTTGAGAATAAATAGAGATTAGGATAAAATGGCAGACCGAATGACTTTAAGAAATGGAAAAGAAATCGTACCGAAAGAGAGTGAAGGAGAACAGGTGTTAGAACAGGAACAGGGTATACAGGTAGATGAAGAAAGCAGAGGAGGATCAGGAGAATTTGTAGTACAATATTTAGAGCAAGGCAGACAAGAAGCAGGACAAGGTGATAGAGAGGGAAGTCTAACAGATAGTTTGAGAGAGGAGTTGGATGAGACAGTGAGAGATAGACGTGATGAAAGTGTGAATGAATGTAGAGTGCAGGAGGAGAGACGTAGGGAAGGAGATGTTGGAGAGTCAGGGATGACACAGATGGATATGAGGCAAATAATGCGGATGTTACAACAGATGGATCATAATATTAGGGGAGATATGCACAAAATGGATAGTAATATTAACAATATTAGGGGGGATATGAACAAAATGGAAAATAATATTAAAGGAGAACTTAGGGAAGAGTTAATTAAAATGAGGGAAGAAATCAAAGAAGAAGTGAAGATAGTCAGGGAAGAGATGCTACAAATTACCCAAGGTTTAGAAGAGAAAGTAGAACAGGTCAGAGGAGAAAGTGAGAATTTTAAGAGGAATGTACAGGAGGAGATATCCAGAGAAAAGGCCATAATTAGAGCGGAAATAGGACAGGAAATTGGGAGCAGATTTGTAGAGTTGGGAACAGCCATTAAAGAGAATTTACCAATGGAAATAAACAAAGAAGTTAATAAGCAGAATAAAGAGATTGTTAGGGAGGTAGAAAGTGTTAAAAGGCAAACTCAGGATTATGAGGAAAAAATTACCATTATAAAAAATAATATAAAGAAGGGATTGCAGAATTTGGAACTGGAAATGGGTATGCATGCAAATCAGGCGGAAAAGGGAGATAGAGTATTACAGGGACAAGTTGAGGAATTGAGAGAGAAATTTAAAAATGCAAGTGAGGAGATTCAGCGTTTGGAATCAAATCTAGGACAAACAAGAGTAGTGAGTACTGTGGTGCCGAGTTATAATGATGGGGGAATAAAGTTTGATGGAAACCTGAATCACTTACATCCTAGAATATTTGTAGATATCATCAAAAATAAGGTAAAGAATGTAAGGGATCCAATAGAAATGAAATTGAATATTCGAAACATGTTAGTGGGCATGCCATTATTATGGTTTTGCAATAATGAAAATTCCATAAATAATGTGCAGGAATTTGAGGCCAAGTTTATTAACTATTTTTGGGGAGAAAACCAACAGGCTAGTTTCAGGGAGCGGTTGTATTTTGGGAAATTCAATTATGAAAAAAGTACCAACTACAATCTGTACGCAATGCAGTTATTCCAGACAGCACAATATTTAGAACCGGCTATGCGAGAAGAGGAGATTGTCCTATACATTGCCAGGCAATATAACCATAACATGGCAGAAACAATAGCTCTCCACAATATAAAGACGATGGAAAGTTTGACAGGATATCTTCAGAGGATTGAGAGGAGTGTAGGGACGCAGAATCGAAATGGACAAGAGCAAGTGACATATAGGAATAACACAACAAATAGACAGGGATATGTGAATCGAGGGAATAATTATAGGGAAAGAGAATTTGAGAGACAAAATAGAAGCAGGGATTTTACAAATAGGGGAGAGAATTTGAACAATGTCAGGAGAGATATCGGACGATATAACTGGGAACGTAGACAAGGGAATCCAAACAATGATAGAGAGAATAACTGGAGACAAGGGAATGACAGAGGCAATAATTGGAGACAGAACCAGGGAAATTATCCACAGGAGACGAGAAATAGGGAAGTTTATAGAGAAGGGAATCCAAGATATAATAGGGGGGAAAATGAGGAGAGAAGACAGGTGAATGTAGTTAGAACAGAGGAGAATAGGGGGGAAGCAAGTGTTGATGTAGAAGGGAGAAATTTTGTTTAGACCGCTCCTATGTGCATAATATTGTCTACTTATCAAAGTATGAACATCCAAGGGAGTTTATTAGAGATACTGGGGAATTAAATAAAAACAATAACACTAATACTTTAAAGTTTATTGAAGGGTACATACAAGATTCAGTATACAAGTTATTATTAGATACAGGTTCAGAAGTAACTCTAATCAACAAAAACATTGTAAATAATTTAAATAATGCAATATTATGACACGAATTTGGTATTATAAGATATAAGTTTTGTAAATAGAAGGATAATTAATAAATAAGCATATCTTGAGATAAATTTGATAATTAAATAATTTATTAGGAACAAATGTACAGAATAATGATAAATTTATATAAACAAAAAAGGTTGATTTATTTTCAAGTAGATTTATAGGAGTTACAAGTATAAATAAATAAGCAAAGTACTATGGACAAATCGATATTTTGTAGAAATTGGGAAATAGGGAATATTATAATGATAAATAGTATATGCGAAAATAAGATGAAAAATAGAATTATATGAAATATTGAAATATGAAATATAGAGAGTTGTATGTAGAGATGATGAAATGAATATTATATGGGGATATAAAAAGAATAAATAATAATGCGGCAATGAATAAAGATACTGAAATAGTATATGCGGAAATAAATAAATAAATAAAAACATAAAATAAAGAGGGGAACAATTATAAGAATTTCTACGAAATTAGTACGAGAAATAAATAGTACAGGAAAAGAAGTAATGAAATTGGGAAAGTACTTGGAAATTTGATTCTGAAGTTGATATAATTAGTGAAAGATTTGTAGATTTTGTTTGGAGAAGTCTGTATTTTTCATAGAGTAAATTATTAAAAAAAAAAAATATTCAAGAGATATGCTTATTAATAAAAGTCAGTTTATTGTTATGTTAATATTAATAAAATGTTTAAGTTTATCGGTAAGAATTTAGATTTAGTAAGTGCTGATAGTTAGCACTGAACAAAATCCAAATTGGGGGAAGTTGAAATGATTTCAATAGGTCAAAGAGGATATAACTTAAAGGGA